TGTTATGGTATAAAATGTAACATTATAATTATCAATCAAAACCTTCAATATATTAGTAGTATCAATACATTATAACAGAGGATGAAAAATTATTTAACTTATTATTAATATTTAAATATATTAGTTTAATCACATGTAAAACAAATTATATCAATTAGTATTACTTAACATTTATTATTATTAATTATTTATATTATTTAGTAATAGTTATTATATTAATATTATTAGTATTATATCATTTATAGTTATTAGCAAATAGTATTTTATGGTACAATAGTTAAATAGTATAAATATACCCCTTATCCCAAATAGTTTCAGTAGTTTTACATTATTTAATTTTATATTTTTATAACTTTAATTAATTGTAATTCTCAGAGAATGGATTGTAATTATTTACATAAGTGTATGTATGTAAATTTCCATTAAATTTACATAGTGGAAATAAAATAATAAATATTATTATTCAAGTTAATAAATGATAATTAAATATAATAAAGTGGAAGTGAGAATATCAAATGGAAGTTATATAATTAATTAAATAATTAATTATATTTGTTCTGTTCTAATAATTATTAAGGAAGTTTGATGATAAAGTATTTATTCAATACTAAATATGATAAATGAAAGTTATAAAGATATATTATTTAAGGATATTACTATGAAATTATGAATAGATAATATTAAGGAAGTTTGGAAGTTGAGAGATATACACAGGTCAAAATTTGAATATCAGATATCTATTGGATACCTATTGGTTCCCCAATATTTTCAAATATTGGATGATTATTGGAAAATTATCAGGTGTATGAAATATTTTTATATATATCAGGACCTGATATCTGTATTTTTTTTTAAAGGCCCAATAACACTTTTGTAAATTTTATAATACACCCAATAGCTATACGATAAATTTGTTTTAATCTCAGGTACCCAATATTTTATGTATTATAAATTATGTGATATTTAAATTGTATTAATCTTTATTAATAAAAAAAAATATTACATTATTAATCAAAAGAACAAGGTAAATTATCTTTGAATATAATATCTAAATTACATTTAGCTTGAATATTTATTGCTGGATAATCAATATTTTCAATCTCATTTTTTTTGTTTCAAGTATTCCCATTTATTCAGATAAATAATCAGTAAACTTTTGAAAAATATCTTCTTTATCTATATTATTATTTTCATCATCTTCACTATTATTTGATACTTCTTCATTCTCTTCAATTATTAATTCAATTTTAGAATCATATTTATATTTTGTATTTCAGTTTCTGAATTAACTTCCTGTATTTCAATTTCTAAATTATTATCTTGTGTTTCAGTTTCTAAATCATTATCTTGTATTTCAGTTTCTAAAGTAGAATTTATAATATTAGATACAATAGATTCTTTATAAAATC